TCCGACTACATAAACCAAACCTCGTACCCAAAGCCCAAAGAAGACGTTTTCCCCTAGAAATTCAAGCCTATACGCTTCGCTGAGCCACAACGCTTGAGTTCCAATCCACACACCCAAGCAAGCTATTGCATTGTACCGCGAAAAGTGCAGGCGCGGGAGGAGTAGTGGCAGTAGCAAAAGATACCACAGGAAGTACTAAGATCACCAAAATGAGACTCATTCTTTTCAAGTTGATGGCAATAGCCGTCGTCACACACCTGAGATGTACAGACTTTGTTGAAGACAACGAACGCGACCGTTTGAACGAACCAAGTGAAGACAAGGTCATTTTTCTTGCGCCCGAAGAGCAAGCCCAAACCTAGGGCCAAAGCCATCTGGGGGACGAAGCTGGTTAAAGGAGATCGTAGAAGACGATTCCAGGCGGAAAGGGAATCTGGCGATGCAGTGGAATTGAAAGCGGGGTATGTGAGATATGTGAGGTAAAAATATGGCGAGAAATTGTGACGATGATCCAGTCGGTGGAGGTGGTAGAGGTATGATTCGTAGAGAAATGGATAACCCCAACTGCATGAAGATATAAGTTTTGATTCCCCGCGATATAGAAAGTAGTACCCACATTGCGTAGCATCCTGCGCCAAGGAGAAGGAACGTTGTGGCACTAATCGTTGCAAAACGAATCGTCTTCCAATTGATTATGCTCTTCAGGTAGCCTTTCAAATTCTGGGCTTCCTGGTACGAGTTTCCAATTACACCCAAGCAACTGACACAGTATATGATCGGGTAGATTTTCCAGTGGGCACTCAGACCGAGCAGTGTAGCGGACGAGGCCCATCGTCCTTTGATGGATGCATAGAGCGCTAATAACACAAAGAGGGATAGGACGGATTCAGAGGAGCCACGCGTCGAGATGGAAAAGACGAGGGGGTTGAGGAGGTGTGTGGCACTATATATGGTCGCCCATTTCTCATTCGAAAGAGGTGGGTCCTGCTCGTTCTTCTTCTTCGTTGTGGACGAAGTGGACGGCGATGAGTTCCTGGGTAGTATTTCGGATTTGAGGAGTTGGTATATCAGAATCCCATTGATTATATCACATGCTGCAAAGATATATTTTCCAAATGAAGGGTGGAACCATCCGTTCGGAGTGAGGAGCAGTGCAAGGAGTGGGGTATAGCGGTAAGTTTCTCGCGTATAGGGACTAACAAACAACGTGTATATTAGCGACCCGATGCCCTGCCAGTTCTAGAATCTACCTGTACGCACTCTCCGACATTCAAAGCGTACCCGAAGATCTTCTTCAAAGGCCCTTGAGCGCGATTGGTACCGTCGGGGCCAGGGTGAAGAAGGAACGCTGCCGCGTCGCTGAAAACACGATAGTCGACATCGGTGTATTTTACGACTGAGCGAGCGTCATGCCATTCACTGTATAAGATGAGCCCAACTCTCAGTATTATCGAGGATAGTAAAACATTGCGGAACGAAGGGATTGAGGGACAAGAGAAAGATGTCATGAGTCTAATTCTTTGCAAGCTCCTTTGGTCATCGGCGCATGTGCAGCCTGATTGACAGGTTCTACTTTGCACGAGTGCAACAGAGGTTCTACGAATTCTTAAAATGCTCTGTTTCCTCAAGTCAAGCGTATGTTTGCAGTATTTATTATTACCATGTATTGCAAAAAAATGGGACTACTCGTGCGAACAGAACAGACACAGCTGGTATTGAAACGAGGTGATTGGAAGATGAGGAAATAGGCATATATGATGGAGGTCTACAAGAAGAATATCTGAATATACTGTTCAAATCTATTTGGGGGCCAATCAGACCAAAGTCGGCAGAGAAAGAAGAAAAGCTTACATATTGCGACAGCCAGCGGAAGCCTGGTGAAAATAGAAGTGGTCAGTTTCGCCAAATTCGAAGAAGCACTAGTGAGACATACCTTCGCCGTAACCTTGCCGTTGAACAACCGAGCACATGAAGATTTCAATAGGTCGGATATCGCTAAGAGGGACTTTGCCCTGGATTGCGTCATACCTCGTCAGCACGCTCAAGCAGCTGAACAGCACCGAGACAAACCTTGCCAGTTGTTTGGTACAATCCAAGGTGATGCCTCAGCTCCTCTTCGCTTACAGCGCCGGGAGCATCAATCTTGTTGCCAAGAACAAGGAAAGGAACTTTTGAGAGTTCTTCAATCGACAGAAGCGCATCAAGTTCCGCTTTTGACTCGGAAAAGCGCTCGAAGTCAGCGCTGTCAACAAGGAAAACAATTCCGTCAACCTCAGGGAAGTAGTCGCGCCAGAGACGACGAGCTGATATCCCAAATGAGTGACCGTTCAAAATAGCGAACATGATGCAGATACGTACCCTGTTGATGACCGCCCAAATCATAAGTGGTGAACTTCACGTTTCCAATTGCCAACTCCTCCGAAGCTATAATAGAGCAGGTAAATTCATCATAACCAATGAAGTGTGAAGTTGCCGCTCACTTGGGTGGAGGGTAGGTTGTAGCGTGGCGAGTCTGTCATTTTTGAGCATATGCAACAACGTCTAATGACGGATAAGCCAGGAGCACCATATTTCAAGAAGATGTTGACTTACTGTTTTACCAGCATTATCCAGACCAAGGAACAAGATTTTGGCGTTCTTGTGGAGCAGACCTAGTTTCCAGAGTTCAATACGTCAAACGACCGCTTACATGCAAAGAGACGACAAACCAAGCTGCGCGAGAACATCCCAGAACCAATTGAGAATGAACATAGCTATAAGCAAATTCGAGTATCAAACTGGAGTGCAGAACGAGGTTCAGATAATAACAGGCAAGACGAGCGAAGACGTGGAATCCCGCCAATGATGTACCCACTAGTCACACGTGTTACAATCCAATTGGTGACTAGTCCAGGGACCGAGAGACCCAAAAGTCCGGCGAGTCAACATATGAGTTTCAAGTTGTTTCAACCCATCACATTATGAAAGAGACACGGACATTGTGTGTAGTATGGGGAACCCAAGCTCAAGTGCGACACAAATGTTGCTGGCACGCCTGCTGGATGGTTAGGCTCAATCAAATCCCCTCTCAAACGGCGAGCGCGGACGATCTCGATACGCTAGCTGCACCGTAACTATTCTCTGCAATTTTTGCCTGACTGGAGTTCCAAAAATTTAGTTCAAATAAGTGGTGTCCATTGGTGCCTCAATCCATGACTTTAGGTCAATTCTACTGCAAAACATGCTGACGACCGATTTATTGAAGTGACTTTAAATTCAAATGCCTCCTCCATCAATCCCCCATGGCCCAATAGACAGAGTTTTGCTCATGTCTCACGGCCTGCCTGGACCGACATTTGACAATCGACTCGAACTTATATTTAGCGAACACGTTACTCGAACACCGATGATTCAAATTATTTCAGGCAAACCTCGCTATTATAGTAGCGAGACTCAAGTGAAGATTGGCTACCTCAAATTGCATTCTATTGGTTCGTGATCAGATGAAGGCATTGAAATGTAGGAAAGGTCTGACACTAACAACACTGCAAGGAAGTGTGCAAGTTCTTATACCCGGCCACGACTCTCTGCGCTTTACCTGAATCGCCTCGTCCTAAGTGGGGACTATAGGACGGGCACTGTCTAAGAGGTTGCGTGGAGAGAACAGCTTCTTGAAAAAAGCGGCTTTTCAGCATGGCTGTGATTGTTCTTGTTTGCTACCGAACCTATGGGTCTTTAGAAGGTCTTGTCGATAGTTGGAGCTCTGTACTTAAGTATGTCTGGAGATGCAAGTGTGATTATTAGCCTATAGTGTAAACAAGCCCTAGGATACCGAGATAAACTGGCAGATCGAAATACGGAGTTTCTACATATTTTCCTCCAACCAATCCCGAAGTGAATCCTCGTTGCCGGCTTTTTCTTCAACTTGTGAAGCATTGGAGAAGACCGATGTACCTAAGAAAAGGATCTCGCCCCCTTCCCATTCATCAAATCTGAAGGTGGACCCTTCTTTCCCAGAACACTCCAGCCCTCCCATATCTGACCTCTCACCATCTTCTCCCAAGCCTTCAATATTGATTCCCCCACTTTGCGACACTCTTCGCTTCTCAAGTTCTCTTTCGAGGATGGTCTTCACACGGTTCACAGCTAAGGTGCTTGCGCCGGCCTGCGGTGATGAAGAGCTCGTTTTGAGCAGATCAGACTTGTGTGCGAGAATCAACAAGGATGGTTGCGGTTGTGACGGAGGAAGTGAAGTCAGGGCGTGTAGAATATAGTGGAGGTGTCTGCAAGTCTGTCAGGTCGCATTGCGATAGCTGAAGAAACCAAACGACTTACTCTGCAACAGCAGGAGCATTCCGTGAGACCGTACTCGTGTCAACAACGAATCCAACGACTTTTGTGTCGGCTAAGTGCTCCTGAAATTGGTCCCTAAGTCTAGGATGGCCGGGCACATCGATAAGCTTGATTGCTTTTTTCGATGGTAGGGTGACAATGGAAGTGTTTGTTTGCATGGAAATCTGCGTTGGCATGGTCTGGCTGTAGACCAACTACAGCGTCCTGGCGCGTCAGAGCACTTATAGTGCTTGGTGAGATAATACTCACCTGGGATAGGATGGCAGTTTTCCCAGCATCAGGAGGACCGACGAGGAGGAAAGCACTCCCTCTTGATGTCGACTTTTTCTTATTCAAAAGGAAAATCACTGAGCAATATTTCAGTTAAGAAGTTCAAAGTTGACATAGGGTAGTTTGCAATACCAGCAAGGAGGAAAGATGCAACTAAGAGTGCCGCAAGCCCCAGAATCGGCGATGTGAAAGGTAATGATAGAGGCAAGACCTCTGGTGTCTTGTGGGGTAGTCCATCGCGTTCCATGGTAGCTGCAAAGGTTCCCAGTTATAGAGTTGGCAGCGGCACTTGGCAGTGGACTGTTTGCTGATGCTTTAACTTGATGACTTTGCTGGGCAACGTACTTGAGTACAGCGCGACGTCACACATAATCGCCTGATGGCGAGGATCCACATGTGCATTAATGGGGTAGTGGTAACCTGGGTCGTTGCCATAGAGTCATTGACTCGACCCGCCGGGGGTTCGATTCCCTCTTAATGCATATTGAGAACAGTTTCCCCTCACTTTTTATCATACATTTGATGTGGCCCATTTTCTAGGCCGAGACTTCAGTTTTACACTTTGAGACCCGATGTTGCTCAAGCTCAAGTAGGCTCGTCACCAGCCGTGATGGACGAATACTGATTTGGGATCAGAATACTTACCATAACGGCTGGGAGGGATTAACCGTGATGCAACCGATGAACTTTTAAAAAGTCCGAGTGACCCAAAAAGGAAGTGTTCCGCGTGCGTGATACAGCAGCTATAGGGGACGCGCGCCTCTAAGACAGTGTCAATGAGACATGTCTTGTACATGCGATGAAGTCTGAGGTAGAGTAGTAGATTTTCAAATAAAACCGTCATGCCTGTCCAGTCTAAAGTCAAGCAATATGCAGCTGAAGAGCTTGACCTTGCCCTCATTTCTGATAAATGCTTCGAAAAGTTGGGAAAACGGCCATTCAGATGGCAATTAGAATGTGCCTTGGGTATACTATGTGGTAAAGATGTCGTTCTTGATGTTGGGACCGGCAGTGGGAAAACGCTATGTTTCTCACTTCCCTTGGTTCTCAATGACAAGGATATGGCTCTTACTGTCTCGCCTCTCACTGCTCTCATGGTGGACCAGGTGAATTCACTATACAATCTCCATCCCATCTACAATAAGAAAATACTCATAAACACTCCAGTCTGATAGCGCAGCATTGAAAACTGTTGCTGTCTTCCAGGAAACCTTAGCTCGTGCAGGTCCCGATAAACTGTACAGTGTGAGTTTTCTCTCAGAAGTCATGTTTACTTTAAATGACAATACATAGGATATCGTCGAGGGTAAATTTCGTCAAGTACTCGTCTCACCAGAAATTGCCATCTCTGGTGAATTTCAAAAGGCTGTCCTGTCGAAGGACCCCTTTATGCGCAATTTGCGTGCGGTCAATATTGATGAAGCGCACTGCATGAATGTTTGGGGGGGTAGCTTCCGGCCTGACTACGCTGCCCTGGGACTTTTGCGCGGCCGTTTTCCAGGAAATGTGCCGTTCCTTGTCGCATCTGCTACATTGCCCGAACATGTTCTGGATGACATTCGCAGTAAATTGAAGCTTGCCAGAGACGTAAAAATGATTCAACTCACAAATGCGCGTCCCAATGTTGCCCTTTCCGTCCGAGTCATGGAACATTCTGACGATTCCAAGGGTGACCTGCGATTCCTAATCCCACCCAAAGCAAGTCAACTGGCAGGTGTTCCTGTAACTCTGGTTTACTGTAACCAGCGGTCAACGACAGAGGACTGTGCTGACCGAGCCAAGGAGTGGGCAGATGAGCATGCCCTTTCAACGAGTTGTATTGCTTTCTATCATGCATTGATTGGTCAGGAACGGAAGCATGAGATTGAGGAGGAGTTACGTGCAGGTAATATCCGGATTTTATTCTGTACTGAAGCACTCGGAATGGTGAGTTAATTGTATTGACTAAGAATTGGATGTCTCACGGTGAACGCAGGGATGCGATCTTCGAAACATTGCTCGCATTATCCTATGGGGCCTTCCTCCAACGTTTTGTGCATTTGTTCAACGAGCTGGCAGGGCAGGACGGGATCTTTCAACTCTGGGAGAAGCCCTTCTTATCGTACCCAAGAGTGTGATGAAAGATGGTATTTCAACAGATGATGTGGCTGAATTGGTAGCCAACACCACTGTTGGGGCAGAGGCCCTCAATCGTGAGCCAGATGATGTAGAGCTGACTGAGACTGTTGTTCAGGTACTCGATGAACAAGGCGTCCGCATTGCTGAGGACGAAGATTCAGCAGAGGAGCAACCAACAATAGAAAAGGCAAAACGCACCAAGAAGTTTGGAAAATATACAAATATTCGAGAAGCTCGTGCCCTCTCGCAATACGTAACAACGACAGGTTGTCGACGAGACATTTGGAATGAATTTTTCGAGAACAATAAGAAGTGTACGTACACTTCACTGCTCTTGAGATCCTGATTGATCACCCAAATAGCACAACTGGAATACGGGGTCAATACTTCCTTCAAACGAATTGAAGGTATGCGCTGCTGCGACAACTGTACACCTCGCCTCTTTCCGATTGAAAAAATCACTGTCAAAGCTGTGGTTCCTGGGCTAAGACGTGGCAAAAAGAAAGCCATTCCACCCGAACAAGGGGGATATATTCATAACAAGCTCAAGAACTGGCGTGACGAAACTCTTGTGGATGCTTACTATGGCCACTTGACAAGCCTATCTGGGGCCACGATCATGGGCGATGAGGTTATCAAGAAACTGGCAAGTTGTGGTGAGCGGCTTGAGAATTACTCACAGGTCCAACGGCATGTGCGATGGGCAGTGGGGAATGATCAACTATCCGGCACACCAACAGTATGGGGACAGATGCTTATGACAAAGCTTGGGGATATATACAACGCTTTGGATGGTTTGGAAGAGGCACAAGAACGGGCAAGGTATAAATCTAATACTGAACTGGACTTCGTAATCATGACTGCTGCGGATTTTGAATAAATGACACACCTCATTGATAACGTCCAAGCTCATCAATGACCTCATGCACCATTGCAAGATAATCGCCTATGTCGGATCCCATCGGAAACTCTTCTTCATCGAGTAAAAGATCTTCAAAATCAATCGCTTCATCACCGTCCAACTCGCAGTAATCCTCCGCATTGTTGCCAACTTCCTCGTTGTTGTCAGTCTCAGAAGACGATGTCGCAGCTTCGGGTACCCCATGGTTTTTGTAGCTATACTTCGTGTGCGTGAAGTTTCGAAATGCCGACGGCACATTGGAATAATCGGAACCAGCTTGCATTAGATCTCGGCCCTCCATCGCATATGAATTGTTTTCACGTTCTGGATGATAGGTTTGGAGACGTAGGGCTTCAAGGTAGTCACAGATAATCTGGATGTCAGTCTCCGTGGATGGGCTGGTGTGCGAGATACCGTTGTATGGTGTCACAAATTCTTTCTGCATTTTGCGAATAACATCGCGCAGAGCAAATATGCACACAGAAACCATGGATAGCCAAGCCCAAGTACGATTGGAGCCCTTAGCATTATAGATAATCTGAAGTTCTGAATCAGCTGCGAGTTTGTGAAGAGAACGAAACATCACTAACCTTATCCCAGAAATTTTGATGCTCTTGAAGCAGGTCCATTTCTTTGAATCCTTCTGCGAGGCCGGACAGATTAGCAAGCCAGTTTGTTAACCATGCATTTCTAAAGGATATGAATCAACCAAGTCAACGAGAAAAAAAACTGGAAAGAACACACCGGACTCTAGGTTCCATCCTCTTCAAACGAATGACCATACTGAAAAGTGCGTCCGCATATTTTGGGGTTTTTCCTGTACCACGAAAGGCGAGCATGGAATGGGTTGTGATATCAAGAACTGCGCCGACGTCACCGCATTTGATAGCATACTTGAGTTGGCGAAGGTATAGACAGTCTCGATTGAAGAGACAAATATTTTCGAGGGGGACATCGCGTTTTGACGCTCGCTCACGCCGGAGTTTAGCCACTCGACGACCAGAGCAGAGCTCGTTTAAAACCTTCTCTGCAACTTTATCAACCTCCTCGACAGTCTGAATTGTATCCACCCACGCCTCTAATTTATCCTTCGGCGAGTATATGCGGAACCGTCGAGAATGTTTGCAGGTAAAGTAAGATTGAGCATGAGCTCATAGACAGGACGAAATGGGGGGAGTGATTTTGCCTTCCAGCCAGCTGTGATGGCTTTCCGGCCCAGGAGAGTGTTGATTTTCCAAAGGGACCATGGAGACTTTGAGTTCGGGCTGCCCCAGAACTCGTTTGCTACCATGCGAGTATGAGCAAATTTGACGTGAAGGAGGCCATCCTGCCCCTCCGTATAGAGTCCGACATTGTCCATAAAATTGCTATCGTCGCGTCGGATGGCTGAGATCTTGTCACGTAGGTGAGCTAGAAGAACGTCATATTTTAAAAAAGAACAGACAATACCTTATCGAGTAGGGCAAGGCTAAGCTGATCTCCTGCACAAATGATGAGACCATGCTTCTTGATGTCGTCCTCCGAGAGCTGCAAAGTGCTCTGAAAAATGGTGTTCATAACACCTAAGGTTCCCTCCAAGCTGGACTCGTCAATGTGCATGGCAGGAAGAGGGTACTGCTCAGTTTTATGGACAGGAATTTGTTGAACAGTCGGGAGTGGTGAGATAAATGACTTGAGGTGTTTGCGCAGTGCTGGAAATGCATCGTATAGAATGTCTTTGATGTGCCAAAGTTGGCCGGCTTGAACGCGCTCAGCTTCCTCACGACTAGGAAGGAGATCCTCGGGTCCGAATTCGAGAATCAGGCGCCGATGAGTACGTTTTGGCTTCAAAGGTAGTTCCCCACATTCAACACCATAAAGTGGAACAAGAGTTGCTGTTGTTCCGTTGTCAAAGTGGTCCTTGGAGTCGTGCCGCTGTTCGCTAACCTTGAAGGCAATGTTGAGGTTATCCCAGATGAGCATAAAGGCTTTTGTTTTCGCAATTCTTCTCGTCTCCACGAGTCGTTCCTCACTGAGTTGCTTGAGTTTACTGATGGCCTGGGTGTACGATAGCGTGATGCCCGCATGATTGAGAACATCGAACAGGGAACGAGATGTCCCGCATGCAAGAAAATACATGCCCATCGAGGTTTGAAACTCGGTAGCATGATCGTTTCGAGACTTGGCGAGCATACATATCGTCGTTGCGAGAACCTGAACGGATGTCAGAAGATACATTATAGATAGCTCAGAAATACGCACAAGTTCTCGTTTCTTGTTCTTTTCTTTGGCCGGGGACTCGGGAAACCCAATCTGTCGCAGTACCTGACAAGTAGAAGGGGCCAGAAGCTCAGCCTGCACAAGAAATTCAGTCATCGAGAACTTCTTCAGAATCTCCGAGACCGGCTGTTTCTGTTCGGGTTTGAACCGTTGGGCTAGGCGTACACCCTCAGCAGCAACAAGCTGACGAACCGTAGAGATCGC